CTAGTGGTGCAGTGAATTTAAAAATTATTAATAGTACACGAGGCGGTGAAATTTTATTACGCGCTGGGCATCAATATTATAAACAGAAAAATAATAAGGACTCTAGTTGGTGGCGCTGTGTTAATAGAAAAGGTGGATGTTCAGCAAGTGTAACTTTGAATTCAAATCGAAGCCATGTATTAAGAGAAAATGCTCACTGCAGTTCTTGTATTCCGAATTTTGAAAAAAATGAAGTGAAAGTAGCCATCGAAAAATGTAAACAAACTATATGTGAAGATCTGAAGCCGAATCCAGCTACATACAGGAAATGTACTAAAAAGCTGAAAGATAATGGTTATGAAATTATTAAAGAATTACCAAATTTTGACAAAGTTAAAAGCAGTTTGTATAGACACAGAAATAGACAACTAGGAATCACAAAATCTCAGCACTCTAACTCTACAGAAATCGTGATTCCTGACCGTTTTAAAGACAATTTATTGTTTGATGAGATTGACGGTGAAAATAGAATGATTGTGTTTGGTTCAAAGAGGGCAATTGCACATTTAAATGACGTCCGTCACTACTTTGCGGACGGAACGTTCAAATGTTGTGCAAAGCCGTTTCTTCAACTACACGTTGTACACGGAGACATAGGAAGTACAGAAACTGGGACAAATATTGTACCATTTTTTATGCAGTGTTGACAAACAAAGAAGAAACTACATATGAAAGACTGTTTTACAAACTAAAATTTCATTTACCAGAGTGGACAGCCGATATTATTACCTTAGATTTCGAAAAAGCTCCAATAAATGCAATTAAAAAGACATTTCCAAACATAATTGTTAAGGGGTGTTTTGTTCACTTTGGCAGAGCGCTATTAAGAAAGGCAAAATCTCTTGGCTTATTACAACATGAAGAATCTCACTATCACGTCAAACTATGTATGGCTCTGGCACATTTACCAAAAGAAGACATAAACGATGGATGGCTATACGTTATGAGTCAAAGGTAAATTAATTTTGCAGTATTGAAATGAACGCGTTTAGTTCTGGATATTTCTTCTACCGCCATTTTCTACAGCCATTTTTATGCGTTAGAAACTAGGTAATATATGGTTTTTCGTATCATAATCTTCAACGAATTAATTATGTTACAGTTTTGAAGAAAAAGCTATAACTGAATTCAATGATTACTTTGTGGATCAGTGGTTGGAAAATGAAGATATGATGAATATTTGGTGCTGCTACGCACAAAGACACCGCACTACAAACCTCATGGAATCTTGGAATTGGAGTTTCAATAGTGAAATTGGAAAAAGGCCATCAATTATTTTATTTTTCGAAACGATATCAGGCAATATTAAACATTATGAAATTCTTCTGAAAAGGTACATATTTTTGTTTCAATGACCTGAAAGTTATTTGAAAGTTATTTGTACACCCCACTTTTTATTTCTGTTTTTAAATATCAATATGTGTAAATGGCATACGTACACATAATCCGACTATTGTACCTGTGATTAAAAATATTTAACAATATAAATGACAATGTTATCATTAGTTTCGTTTTTCTTTTTTTACTTGACTGTACCCATTTCATCGGTTCAAGCGGGAGTCAAGCAAGGCTGTCTTCTCTCGCCTCTGCTTTTTCTTATCGTCCTGGATGGTGTAATGCAGAAAGTAAACGACGGCAAGAGACGCGGTATAGAATGGGGGTTGTACAATCAGCTGGATGACCTAGACTATGCTGATGATCTGTGTCTGCTTAGCCATAAACATGCTGATATGCAAGCCAAACTGGACGACCTTCGGCTAGAGGCGGCAAAGGTTGGCCTTAAAATCAACTCAAGGAAGACCCACGAGATGCGCACCGGGAAAAACCAACAGTCCCTCACTCTTGATATGGAGCCAATCCAGTGTGTACAACAGTTTGCTTACCTGGGAAGCATTGTGTCGAAGGCTCCCTCCTTCTGAGCGGAAGAGGACTCTGCCGCTAGAGTGACCAAAGCACGGGCGACCTTTGCACAACTTCGACCCATATGGCGATCAAAGAAGCTGACTCGTAGAGTCAAGCTTAAAATCTTCCGATCTAACGTCAAGTCCGTCTTACTCTATGGGTGCGAAACGTGGAAGGTAACAAAGGATATCACTCACTTAATCCAGGTCTTCGTCAACCGCTGCTTTCGGCAGATACTTGGCATTTTCTGGCCAGAGAAGATCTCGAACGAACGCTTGTGGGAGGCGTGCCGGGAAATGCCAATAGATAAGCAAATTACACGCCGAAAGTGGTCATGGATAGGACACACCCTCAGGAGAGGTTCCACATTGGTATGTCCAAGACAAGCTCTAGAGTGGACACCACAAGGCAGGCGAAAAGTTGGCCGTCCTAAGCAAACGTGGCGGCGCACAGTGGCGGCGGAAAAAAGGAGGATAGGATTGTCCTGGTCCGAAATTAAGCACATAGCCCAAGATAGGTCCAAATGGAAAAATACTGTGGAAGCCCTCTGCCCCACCTAGGGGATATAGGAACTTAATATAATATATACCCATTTCATCTGAAAGTTTACCAAATGGGATATAACACAAAAGAATATTGAAATGTTTTCGAAATGGGACTAAATGTGTGAAATGTATAATGTTTACCAAACGCAACTTTTTAGTAGGTACAGTTTGAGGTTTACGAAATGGGAAGTAGCCACAACCGTGGGCCGGGCACGCTATTATAGCAGCGGTATGACCCTCTTTGAGGTGTGGCTTGAGAGATGCCACGGCGTGCTTACCTTCCGCCTGATGCAGGTCCTTACCGGGCACGGCAGCTTCGGTAGGTTCTTGTTTCGGATCCAGAGGGAGGAAACGCCCGAGTGTCGTCATTGCGAGGACCATCTAGAGGATACGGTGGCAGTATGTCCTGCCTGGGCTGAGCACCGCCGTGTCCTCAGGAAAGTGATCGGGGGCGGCGACCTCTCGCGCCCGGCCTTAGTCGAGGCTATGGTGCGGAGCGAGAGGAACTGGGACGAAGTCTCCTCTTTCTGTGAAGCAGTTATGCTCGCAAAGAGGGAGGTGGCCCGCGTGAGGGAGCAATCCTCCTCCTCACGCCTCAGCCGCCGCAACAGGCGACACTACGAGCGTCGGGGATCAAAGTACGATCTCCGGCCACCGTAAGCGCGGGTCTGCGGTCGGCGAGTAAGGGTAGCTCGCCGCTCGACCAGAACCACACCCGAGCGTATGGCGCGTAGCGTTCCGCGCGCGTCTCAAAGAGACAATAGACCACCACAGACGGGGTCCTATAGGGCTGATGTTCAGCCGGGGTAAGCGCAATGAGGGACCGCGACCTCGGCCCAGAGCAGGAAAAGGAACAGGGAGGTTTTTAGTCAGTAAGACTCTGACACTCCCTCCTGCCCGGCCCTGGGCGGGAGAAGTCATTTGATGATAGCCCCTCACAAAAACCTCACTCGTACGGCGAAATACATCGCTGTGGTTGTTTCACGCCTGATTTCTGTATGAGCTTGGCTCTCCCACATTTAAAACGTCTTTTTTGACCTACCCAAATAATTATCGTGTTATTATTGTTTATAGGATCATTGAATCTCACTCGTTACTTAAGTTTAACGAAAGTGCTGTAGCTCCAGTGTCAAATGCAACTAGTTCACCGTTATTTCAGTCTAACTAGTCTTTGGTTCGATATTTATTACTTTACTAACTAGGTACTCTTGCGCGGTTTCACTCGCTGCTCAGTTCCTACAGATCTTTGCGTGATATTTTATAGCCTTTTCTCAATAGGTAGACTAACGAACACAAAAAGAATTGTTCAATTTCGAGCCAGTAGTTCCGGCGATTAGCGCCTTCAAACAAACTCTTCAGCTTTATAATATTAGTATAGATATGCTATTTACAATACAACATATATGCGCTTTATGTTACTCACCGTCGGCTCACTTGTTATTTTAACGGTCACAGCTAATTTCTTGTTGCAGTCTCGCAGCACACTATGCTTGAATAGTTCTTCACGTTCGAAACGCACCGATTCAGTGTCCGATGTTACACTTTTCTCCTAATGTACAAAAATATGACCTATATTTTACAAATATAATAGCAACATTTATAACAAAATCCGTATTATCAATAATAATTCGCAGGTAGGTATGTAGCGTCGGAAACTGCGATGGTAAAAAAAAACTATTGTATTGTTCGGAATTTTCTGCCTAGTCCCAAATGATAATGCGTGAGTTTGTGTTGTAAGTATTACAAGGTATTTGTCTCAAAAAGTAGGTATTGAAAATCTGTAGGTAGTGTTTTGCAACAAAATTTTACCTCTAGGTACGCAAAACAAGAAAACAGAAACAATTTTAGTGACACGTACAGGTTCGCAGTTGATGAATACAGCTCTTACTTCCACACAGGAATTTTCTTCAGGGATTCGAACAGATTTGTCTTCAATTTCATCGAAAGCTGTTGATATGCAGAGTTGAATGATGAAGTAACTTATAACTACCCTGAAGACAAAATCTGTGTCAACCATGTCAAATAACATATTAATGAATTATAATAAAATAAATTATACCATTTCATCGTTTGTATATTCTTTTACTGAGAATATATTAAATGATGCAACGTAAACAATATTGTTAAAAACATCATTAAATGACAAAACGCGACAAAAATGTAGCGACCAAAAAGTGAAAAATTGTAGTTGATGAATTATTCTTTATCATTCGGAAAAAGGTCGAATGCGTGCTTATTCTTTGTCTATTATATAAAAAGTGGCGTTCATTTGGGGTTTGATGAATTAAAATTAAGTATGTTGTGAGGTTTTAATGTAACGTTGATCTTATCCGAATCGTTTGCGGTGAAGACACTTACCTAAATGTCTAAAATAAAAACAATGTTTCACGCCGGTTTTCTGTGAGGCCGTGATATCACTCCGGTAGAGCCGACCCATTCGTGCCGAAGTTTAGCTCTCCCACACTAGATGCAATGTTGTAAGGTTGGTAATGAAATTAAAATAAAAGAAAAACGTTAATTTTATGTGAGTTTTCATTTATTACACTCCATTCTCAGATAATAAGTTTAATATTAAGATCACAGTTTAAATGAGAAAAGGAAATAGTAAATACTTAGGTATTCATAACTTTATATTAAGTATCACTCAGTTCAATAACAAAATTACGACAGCAAAAATCATCCTTTTCTCATTTAAAGAAAAAAGATTTAAAAAATAATATTCTTAATCCAAGAAATTCACAAACATCTATAATATCGTCAATGCGCCGGATTATATTTGATTTATTTAAGAAGATGCAAGTATATTGTTCATAATTTTCAAAAGATCATAATATTATAAGATGCGAGAACTACGTGAATCAAGTTTGCCCTGTTAACAAACATGAAGCTACGAGTGAAATTATTAATAAACAACCAGTCGCCATCACTCGTACCTTCATACGTACACGTCTAAAGAGACCTAACCATTTAGTGTTAGAAGCATTTGCTTCAATAACATTACCCAATAAATATTATGTCGTCAAACGAAGTGATCATTAAAATGTCAACAAGTGTTGGTTAGATCTCTTTTGCGTACTAAAACACGTTACACTTTCATAATTTAAAAAAAAAGTAGCGTACATTTACTAATAAGCCCTTATTTATATAGCTCAGTTGGCCAAAGTCTGGACAGAAACTACTTTATCATTAATCATTATATCCAATCTACTGCAAGTCTTGTATTTAATTCTATTCTATCAAAAGACCTAAACGAGCAAGCCGCATTTATTAAAGGAGTACCATTACTTATTTCAAGCTTTGTTGATATCATAATTGTCCTTACTGAATGATCCTTTTTCAATGATACTAAACACTTTAAGGTTTTATGAGATCTAAATAATAATAATAATAAAAAAACAGTTAACAAATTGGTTCTCAACAAACAAGTGATCAAATTTATAGTCATCTAGACTTTACACGTAACTTCACAATTAAGATATCGTAAAAAACGGGTCAATACATTTCCTAATTAAAACAATACGGAATTTAGTCTACACTTCAAGTTAGTTCCTTATTAAGATATTTCAGTATATTTTACGATACAGGATCTGTAGACGCGTATGTTGCAGCTTTGCTGGTCTGAAAAGATATATTTGTTAATATAAATTCAAATGTATATACAGTGACATATTAAATAAAGCGCAATACAGTTAGAACTCCTAATCAAATGTGATTTGATACATAATTTTAATGTGTTTAGTTACAAACAATAGTTTCATTATATTTTCGAAAGAGATGCACCGAAATCGGTTACATATATAACTGAATACAACATACCTCACAGCTATCATAAAACTGCATTGCTGTCTCACTGTCGTAAAAGTTGACAGTAACACTCTTATCCACTGGGTCATTACTAGTGTAGTCGGTGCCTGACCATGCGCAGGAGTCGCCAGACATCTAATACAAACAAACATGACAGAATTCAGTGTCTGATTTCATTTAAAAATATTCCTTTAAGCTTAGATTTTAAGAGGAAAAAAACGAATAAAAAGATGGGAGTTGGAAGAAAGATTATAAATTACCTGGAACTCAGTGTCAGTGTAAATGAGCATATCTGCTAGTATCTCTCCGGTAGCCGCATCGGTAACTAAGATCTTGGGAGAGTAAATCTCTTGGTCAAAAAGCACTTGTATGTGGGCATTCGAACAGGTGGTCTCATTGTTACCCTGCCGCACTATCGCCTCACCGTCGCACGTGTAATAAGGTGATGATTCTTCCTCGTCCTAAAAATATTATCATATTTAATTTGATAACTTTGTTTAGTTAATAGGATCTTTTACAGTTAAAAACATTGTTGTTGAAAAGTATTCAGCATTAACTTTTGTTATGTATTAAATATTCGCTTCTCATCACATCACAAATCAAGAGATGCGTATTTGCAGGTTGTCTACTTAGATTCGACGAAAACGAAGGAACAAAATCGGCAGAAACAGGACGTGTGTAAAATTTTCTACCTATTATACTTTAAATGTAAAATAAGTAAAATAAGTACATTTTTTTTAGATTAATGAGCATTCTGCACCATTGCCTCACATAAAACTACGTTGTTTCGCCGTGCGAATGAGATAACTAACCTATTTGTTTCTTCGTTTTTATTAGTTGAATCTTTCGAAAAACGTAGACCTCTGTACAAGAAGAAGTGTTGAAGTATTTTTTTTTTAATATGTAGATTACACTTGGTATGGTGACATCACATTCTGGTTAATATTTAAATATAGTGGATAAAATACGAACCTCGTTATAGTATTCATCATAATCATAGTCTTCTTCTTCATCTTCATGGTCCTCGTGATCCTCGTGGCTCTCATGCTGTTCATAGCCCTGTTGATATTCTTCCGTCACTGCCCCCAGTTTGGCATGGTTGCTGTTTGTACTGGTGTCCTCCCTTGACGAACCAGACGTCCTTTGAAAGACTTCCGCAGTAATCGCATTATCAGCGCGTGCGCTTTCTTGCAAATGTTTCGGCAATCTTAGTGGCGACACGTTATCAAAGGCTTCTGATTCTTTTAATTCATTCACCTCCCTTACGGCTTGGGCAGCAGCGGCTTGTAATTTCTTAAACAACAATCTAATCTTTAAAATCTATCAAAACCTAACACATCTTAATTTAACCATTTATTATGCTATTTATTGAATTTCAAACATCAATAACCTCAATAATGCATACTTTGACGACCAAAAATGTGACAAAAAATTTTACAAGTATGGGAGAGGCATACTTCGGCACATAGGCTGGCTCGGCCGGAATGTTAACATAGTCTCACAGAAAACTACGAGGAAAAACTAGAGCCCTTAAAATATGGTTTTTATTATAAATAATTTGTCTTACCCTGACACATTCGACAATTTTATCATGGAAGGAGGTGGCCAATTCCACGTTCTTGAATCGGACTGCGAGGGTCTCTTGCTCGCCTGCTGGGTTTTCCGCAAAATTGCGGCCGGCCCATGTCCATGCGCGATCGGAGTTCTTCATTGGCAAAAGCTCCAAATCCATATGTAAAAGCATATTGAGCACCGCTTTGTGGATCTGTTATCAAACCAACATAATTACAAAAATAGGACTAGATATGTGCAACTATACACTTTACATGAGGCCATGTACTATCATGCTGTAATAGTATTATTAATAAATTCAATAAATCACCAGTTCCCGACGCAGTAGCAGCCTGTAAGTCTTCCTCTCTGGGTGGTATAGTATTTTCATTTCGCCGACACCACGTTCTTTCCACTCACGGGACTTGTCATCGTAGCGATATAATTTGCATCGCTCTCCGAACATTTTTTCCTTAATATAAAAGATAATGTTAATTATTTTATTATTCTAGTAATACTCATATATTTAGTACATAAAATTATTGTTGTGCTTACCTCATCCTCCTCACCGGTGGTGACCACAATCTTTTCAGGAAGAGGTACAATTGGCTCATAATGAGGGTCGTATTCCTCTTCTGCGACCGCGTCTTCATCTACGCCGCTTTCATCCTTTGATTTATCTCCTGATTTCTTATTTGATTTGAATAATTGTTGGCCAGCACCTTCCCATTGGAAATCAGGCTCTAAAAATAAAGATATATTTAGCCACCAAAAAAACAATGGTTACAGAGATGTGATAACTAGATTACGATTATTTATTGTAGGTTAGGTTACTTTCATGGTGCCTTCTATCTACGGTCACTATTCATTCAATTTTTTCTTTATGTTTCTTGTTTTGTGTCTTTTGTTTAACCGAATTTATAATTTTACGACAAATTATATGACGTTAATAAAACTATTAGGAATTATTGTTTAAAAAATGCAACTTACGTGTAGTCTTCATATTGAAAGCAGGACCACTACCAGATGATAGAGCAGCAAATGTAAGATTGTTATCAACCTTAAGTGGAATTTCTTTCTTCTCAGACTGATCAGCAGTTGAGGTATTTGATTTCTGTATATCGCTGACATTTAAAGTCTTCGATGCATCTGTATTTTGCTTATCATTTACACCTGCACTTAATATTCCTCCATTATTTGATGTCCCAAATAATGACTTCCCACTTCCAAATACTGAATTTTGAGATGAAATAGTACCAAAAGCAGACATAGCAGCTGAGCCAAATATGTTGCTATCAGTTTTGGATTGACTGTTTGCTAGGGCACCAGGTCCAAAAATACTTCCTTGATTTGCACTAGCAAACAAATTTTCAGACTTATTATCATCACCAAATATTGATTTTACTTCAGTATTATCCTTCCTCGTATTTGGAGCAGAAAACTCTAAGACTGACTTATTGAAAGACTTCCCAGTTTCCGTAGAACTTGTGGTAGTTGGTGGGGCTTTTGCATCACTAAAAACAAATTTCGATTGTCCAAAGTTAAAACTGGATTCATTTTGATTCGAGGTATTAATATAGCTTAACTTGGGTGGTGCCAGTAAAGAGTTCTTTGAGCTTGCTGTTCCTTGAGCCTCACTACTGCCAAATATGGACGTAGTTGTGTTTTGAGGAGTTCCAAATATTGACTGCTTTGAGTCACCAAATCCTGTGAATATATTCGTCTTTTGAGTAAATGTATTTTCCTTATTTGTGAAAGTATTATCTAAAACACTTTGTGAAGAAGACGATGTTGGTGTTTTCATGTTTGATGCAACTGAACCGAGTGGCGTGCGGAATATAGATGTATCGGCAGTTTTCTCAAAATTGCTTGGAGTCCCATATATAGAATTAGTAGGACTTTGGAAAATAGATGTCATCGTTTTAACAGGTGTACTTGAGCTGGTTAATGTCTTTGCAGTTGGTTCTGATGCCATTGGTTTTTGTTCTGAACTAGACACATTTGGTTTGTTTGCTGCTGCTGTTACATTTGTGTCACTGGTTGATGTACAAGGTTGAGAATTACTTTCAGATTTTAATGAATCTTCACTATCATTGCATCCACGACATCCTTGGCATGGTTCTTTAGTTTTGTAAGTAAAGAAATTTTCAGGCAGCATCAGTTCCTTGGCTTTCTGTTTATCTTCATTAGATGCTTGAATTTCGCTTACAAAAACGACATCATCAGATGCATCTTTTTCTTTTTTATCATATATTTCACTTTTACTAACAGATTTTCCCTGGAGTGCATTGTCAATTGCATTTTTAAATTCTAAAGCCACTTCTTTGCTCTTAAATCGAAGACAGAAATGTTCCAAGTTTAATTCACCTTCACTAAAGTCATTTACCACAAATTGCCAAGATTTTTCATCTTTTACATTGTAAATAATTTCTGAAGTCAAAGCATGATTCAAACATATTTTTAAGACCTGCTCCCTGCGCATAACTACCCTGTAATACAAAAAACTAATTAATAAAATAATAAACATTTAAAATTATTGTTCAGTTATAATAGATATTAATCTCAATGCTTGTGTGTGTGTTTGCTATGTGAGTCAGGTCACTGAAGGTCCAATCTTCACCTTTTTCCCTGAGGATCTACAACACCTTTGGTCACATTTGGCTTAACATCACAGTTTGCTGGTCTACCAGATAAAAAACATATAAATAGAGATAATAATTACCTCAATTTTCCTGTATCTTTATGTTTAAGAATCTTGACAATTCCTTTCCCACGTTCTTTCCATTCACCTGATAAAAATCTATACAACTTTGCTAACTGTCCATACAGCTCAGTTTCGTTTTCTTCGCCAGTAACAACTTCAATCTATAAGAAAAAAATTTTTTTTTTTGACATAGCACTGATTCATTTTATATCTATATCTATACTAATACTATAAAGAGGTAAAATTTATAAGTTTATATGTAGGAGGTTAGCTTTGGAACCGTTGGTCGGATTGCCAAAATTCTTTCACTGATAGATAGCTACAATATTCCTGAGTGCTCTAAGCTATAAAACATCACGCTACGATCAAATGCGAGCCGAGCAGCGGGTGAAACCGCGCGAGAGTAGCTTGTGTTACAATATAATATTATTTCCGTTGTTAAGGGACTGACTGACAGAATGACAGGCAATGCATTAAGTATATACATACTACTTTGGAAAAGGAGATTATTATGGCATACAATTAGTTCATTGGGTTAAAGTTATTAATACTAGATAACAACTTACCTTATCTGGGAGTGGTACGACAGGAGTGAAAATTTGATGGCATTCATCTTCTGCAGCATATTCATTTCCATCACTTGCTTCACCATCAGATTGACTATGAGGAGACTTTGCAGGACTTTTACCTTTAGTAGGTGTCTTTGGTTTGAATACAAAGTCAAATGTACCTCTTTCTTTGGATCCAAAGGACACACTAGATGAACTGTTGGACACAGGTGTGGGAAGTAGTGCTGGTTTTACAGTAGTATTTGGTTCTTCTTTCTTCTTTAGACTAAAGTCAACAACCTTATTTTCAGAAGCAGTCTTTACAGTATCAGTCACTGCATTATTGGTTTGAGCCTTCTGTTCCCCAAAAGATACAGGGACAGTTGTTGTATCACTTGGAGGAATACCGAAACTAAATATATGAGCACCAGTTCCATCAAAAATATTTGCGTTTGTGTCATTTGAAGCTGGAGGAATACCAAACCGAAATTGTGTACCAGATGAAGCTGTTCCGAATATGGATGTTTTGTTATTAGTTTCCCAAGTGGAAGGACTGGTTTTGAACAAGTCACCACCAGTCGTAATGGTAGAACCTTGTTTTGATACAGGAATTGTTGAAGTAGTCTTTTGCTCTGTGCTGCTATTTGTAGCAGGTATTCCAAAATTAAATTTAGGTGCAGTGTCTGATGTAAGTTTAACAGCTGTCTTAGGTTTGGTTGGATCTTTGGGGCTATTACAAGCACTGCAGTTTTCAACACTAGGTTCATTTCGAACAAAACAATCTCTGCATTCCCAGCTACCAGGTTTTGGCTTGAATTTATCACCCCAACTTGCTGTAACTACAGGTTTCTCAGCATTTGTATTTGTTACAGCAGCAGAAGTATTTGTGTTTGCTGCACTGTTTGGTTTGGGTGTTTCACAACAGGCACACTTTGTAAAACTTTCCAAGTTATTTGTGTAACATGCATCACAATGCCATGACCCAGCTTTGGGTTTAAACATATCACCAAAACCACTTTGATTGTTTTGTACACCAGCATTTTTTTCTTCCTTTGCAGCTTTTGATTCATCCTTCATTTTGGATTGGGCAGATTTTATGGCTTCCATAAATTCATCACATAGCTGAATAGTCTTAAACCGCAAACAGAAAGTCTCTGCTACTAACTCACCTTCTGAGAAATCTTTGGCACACCAAGTAACAGCTTTATCCAAATTAGGCATTTTTTGGAAAACCATTTCATTAGTAAGTGCGTGATTACAACAGACCTTCATTATTTGTTCACGTCTCATTAGAAGTCTTACTTTGTGTGAATTATCTTTATGAACCAGTAACTTAATATTGCCCAGTCCACGTTCTTTCCATTCTTTAGCAGCCGCATCAAACCTTAACAGTTTTGCGCGATGTTCAAACAGTATATTTTCATCTTCTTCGCCAGTCTTTTGGTCAATTAAAGCAGGCAAAGGTACAACAGGTTTAAATTCAACATTTGGTTCATATTCTTCAACCTGGTCTGAAGTATTTAATTTAGTGGATTCTGTATCCTGTGCTGTGGTATTGTTAGTAGTGGTGGTGTCAGGCGATGAAGTTTTAGTAAATAAGTTAGAAAATGGAGAACTGTTGCTGGCTTTAAAAGATAAACCGGTAAATACATTAGCTTTAGTAGTAACAACATCTTGGGAGTTTGTTTCAGGTTTGACATCATCAGACACAGGCTTGAAAGTTGGTGTGCTGCTAAATGTAAAACCACCAACGACAGCTTTAGTTGTAGATGTAGTTGTTTGTATGGATTGGCTGTTAGTATCTTTGACAGACATGTTTACTTGGCTGGTTTCTTTATCAGTCGTCAATTTTACATCTTCTACTTTAGGAGCCACTGGACTCAAAGTTTTATTCATCAGAGCTTCCTGTCTAGCTTTTTCGAAAGCATTGTAGAAATCTTTAGCTATATCAGCAGTTTTAAACCGAATACAGAATTTTTCTAAAACAACAGTCTCATCAGCAAAATCATTGGCAACCCAGAAATAGGCTTTAGCCTCATTCATCATTTGTTTTATTTCCATTTCTGCAGTAATTATATGATTCGCACAAATCTTATGGATTTGTTCACGTCTCATAAGAACTCGGACTTTTCCTGTTACTTTATGTTTGAGTAATTTCATTTCACCAAGACCTCTTTCTTTCCACTGTTTATCTACAAAGCGGAAAAGTTTAGCTCTAGAGCTAAATATCACATATTCATCTTCTTCTCCTGTAGTGACTTTAATTTCAGCAGGTAAGGGTACAATAGGTTTAAAATCTGGACAAGGGTCATAATTTTCCACGGATGTATTACTTCTTTCCGATAATGTCCTTGATTTATTGAGACTAGTGTTAGGTGATCCGCCAGAAAAGATTCCATCAACTACTGACTTTGAAGTATCAAGTGTGTCTCCACTAAGCTTAGGTGCGGTTAGTGAAGGGTTAAGTAAGGAGCTGAATGTGGAAGTTGAAGATACAGGAGTAGTTTTGAATACAGGTGACTGATTCCATTGAGACACTGAATTAGAAGTTGCGGTAGCTGCTTTGTTATTTTGGGCTGGGAAAACAAACACTGGAGGTGACATGACTTTAGTGTCTGTAGTTGCTGGAAGTTGTATTTGATAATTATGAGGAGTACCGCCTTTAATGTGTTTTGGTGGAATTGTCACACTAAGGATTGGTGCTGGTGTTGTGATACATGTTGGGAGGGGATCTGAAGATGTAATGACCACATTAACAGGTAATGATTTTGAATTATCTTTAGATTCAGCAGAAGTTACTTTAGATGTAGATACAGATATTGCTGCTGATGATGTTACACTTGACATAGCTGGTACAGTTGACAATGGCGGTACCACTGGAGCGTTTGGCACCGGTGGGGCTGCTGACAAGTTAGGAGGAACCAGATGAGCGACATCTAAATACATTTGATCTGGCGTTGGATAAACGCCAGGATAGTTCACTTGAGCTCTAGTTGGATCAAACATAGGCTGTGTCCCTGGTACTGAGGATGGCTGCGCGAATTGTGAATACTGGTTATATAAGTTGTACAAGCTTTGATTGTAAAGTTGGTACGGATTAGGTGGTACAGGGAATGGCGGCACAAGACGTTGGTTGAAAGATGGAATCACTTGAGATGGTGTAAATGGTAGTTGAGTAGCAAATGACGACGCACTATCATTTGTTCTATAGTCTTCATCTAAATTATATAAATCACTGTCATCTATGGTCTGTTCAGAAGAAGCCTTCTTCAGTTTGCCCACCTCTTTTTTCAGCTCTGCAACCTGCTTTTTTAATTCACTAACATCCTTACATTCATTTCTACATTCATCTATCTGGTCCTTTACTTGATCTACTGATATCTTCAGCAATTTAAATTGGTCTGTAGTATTTTGCATATTTGAGTGAATAGTGCTTATAATTTGATTGCCCATTTTACGATTTTCATCGAACCAGTTCCTTGTTTGTTCCATAAAGTCACTAATAGTAGTGTCTCTTTTTTGCAAATTCTTAATTTCTGTTTCTATCCTTTCCAAAAATTTATAGTCAACCTTTGAATTTTCGAATAACTGTGAGTCTATAGCAGTTCGGTAATTTGTAGCATTAGCATTGTGAGAAGCTTTAGGAGCTTTAGGAGTGGAACTTAAGTTGCGGAATAAGTGAGAATTTCCTCGAATAGGTAAATGTTCACTTTCTGCGGAAATATTGTCATCTGATGAAAATTTCCCGTCACCATCTTTAGTACCAGTAATAAAATCAGGATCAATGTTATTCATCCGGATTTCTATGTCTTCAATTAGTTCTTGAGTGTCTGTATATAAAGGATTATTTTTGTTAGGCTCACTGTCCCTCAGCCTGTCTAATGCTTTGTAAGCAAAAATTTTTGCTTTAGCCAATAATGCTGCATATTTAGACATTGCTTCAGAATCATGAGATAGATTACTTTCTTCTAATGCAATTTTTTTATATGTTTGACTAAGGTGGAAAAGTGCCTGTGGTGACTTTAAGTTGGAAAGGATTTCAATAACTTTATCATATTCACCTTCACTGAAATGGCTGACTGCTACATATAGTTTGCATTCTTCAAGTAAAGCATGAAGTTCTTTGGAGCTGAGTTCTTTGTGTGTATAATCAAACATTCTTTTGTCAAGATACTTGATGACAATTTTACTTTTCAATTTTTCTAACAATGGTACAGCTGAAGAATAATATAATCCAGCTCTTAATTCCAGTTGATGTTTTTCATCTACATTTGTTGATGCTTTAGCTCTTTCACTGAATATGCGCCCAAGGATACATAATAACTCTGGATCCAGACCATGATTGTCAATACACCTCACAACTTCAATACCACGGCTTAATGTAGCACGTATGTCAGTTAATTCTGTCCCCAACTCATTTTGACTAAATTTGTAAGCACAATCCCACCATTTCATTTGGGTGAGAGGACACATTAGATTGGTAATGTTAGCTGGAAGTGTATGTGGTCTTTCACTGGATACATAAGAATCTTTTCTAGAAATTTGTTGACTGGCTGTTAATGTTGCACAATACAAGAAGGCATAAATATCTGATCTGTTCAATGTCTCAGGCCCACAAGTTGTAGCATTGTATGTGAGCATATCAAAGAGAGTGCATTTGAAATGTGCATAATTTTTATAATTCAGTAGTGTCCAAACAAAATGGTGTAGTGAACTACCATATTCCCTTTGAGCATCACTATCATAACATTCAACTTCTATTTTCCTAGGAAGTCTCAATACAGGTGGAGCAAATGCATTTGATGCAAAGTAAGACGACTTCATTTTATCCTGATGCCCTTTACTAGAAAAGATCTGCTTGTACTGCTTATCTCTCCAGTGAGTACCAGAATAACATTGAGAAACCTGATCAAGAAATGACTGATTTTTGTCTTGAATATTTGACAGTAAATAATGTCCAGCTTGGGAGCATCTGTATGTTCCTTCATAATACCAGCGTTTCACTGCAACTGTTTGTTTTTCAGGGGCATTTTTCAGCCAATTTACTTTGGAGTCCAGAGGTACCACTTGCCAAGCAACTAACATAAGTGGAGAAGCATACTTAACAGCATCTCGCCAGCTCATTTGGTCTTTTTTGGCTTTCTTAAGCAAAAATGTTGCAGCATGAAAGGCAATTTGGCCTTTATGATGTTGTAGCAATGCATTATGAAATTCTGCAAAGCCAGGAGAGGCCCCAGAACGCGAAACATTCTCAATTGCCTGATCATAGGCATGAAGAAGATCATTCGATTCAACTAAGCTTTTGGAAGTACCACTTGGTGTTTCAGTTATACTCAACAAACAAATTCGTTCCTTCACAGTTAAGAGAAGTAAGTGATAAAGCCAATCACTAGTATTGTGTGAGTTGTTCTTCAGTAGATCATTCAGGATTTCATACCAACCATAGTTGTTTATGAATGGTTTACCTCCAAACTCCACTTTGCATGCATGCTCAAATGCTTCTTTAACTTTATTGATATTCAGATAGTGTTTCAATAAGCGTGCATGAAGTAACGCATCCTTTGGCCTTATTGCCAATTCAGAATTTAGTAACTCAACTAGTGCTTCAGGATCTGGGTTTGAGACAGAAATAAGTTTCTCTCTTAGTCTGAATGTAACTGGGTGCCTGGGAAATGTGGCTTCTGCTTTTTCACACCAGTACTTGGCTCGGCCTGGTTCAATAATGACTTCACCATCAGCAAGAAGTTCACAAACTGAAACAAATTAAACTTCAATTGTGGCAATTCCAAACACAATAGCAAGACAACAGGTGCGCAAATGCCAACATTTGCTTAGGGTTTGATCAATGAATAATGTTAACTCCACAATACTATACATTTTGGCTTGTTCAGTAAGAATTAATAAATTGATTGATTACTAGTTGAGGCAAACTGTTATTGGGTTTTCAATATTCTCAATCACTCTTAGATGCCTACAGAAAATTTCAAACTACTACTTTATGAAATGAATAGCCTGAATTATTTCTACACAAATTGGTTTAAAGGATAATATAAAAAAAATACGCGTCGAATTGAGAACTGCCTCCTTTTTTGAAGTCGGATAAAAATCTTTAAACATACTTAAATGTTACCTGTTTGGTATTCACTAAAAATTAAGTGCTATGATGCGACATTGATCTACTACATAATTAGCTGAATTACTGAAATGCACCTGATAACTTCATAAATATAACCAAACAAAATGTGAAATGTCATGCACGGCATTCAGTCAAAAGTATTTATTACTACTTACTGTCTATTATGGTACTAGTTTGTGCCGGGTCGATATCCAAAGAAGCCTTGTATTGTTCTAGGGCCTTTTCTTTCATCCCCATTTTCTGCAAGGCTTGTCCAAGAAGTTTGTACGCCGCAGCGTTGTTGTCTTTTTGAGTAAGGTATTGCTCGACATATTTCTGACAACTCAAATAATCCCCCACTTCGAAATACAGTCGAGCTACAGAATAAGCTCTTGATTTGAACTGCAATTAATATATCCAAATACTGTTAGAATATGAACTGCACGTATACAATAATCCTTGAATCTTTTTTAAGTATGATCTTGTTTGACTTACCTCTTTCGCAGACAATTTAGACAATAAATTCTCCACATGTTTATCCACGTCTTTTTTATTTCTATACATTTTTAAACTATTCACCAAAGTTATAAATCTTTCAAACCTCGAATCACCTTACACAAGAAAAAATCGCGTGGGGCAAATAGATCGGCATTTGGTGTTCGTCATTTTTAGTTCCAGTGTTGACACTAACAAAATATTTTTTCCTCTTAAAACTATTTTATTTATATCCAATTTTGAAAGCAAAATAATGTTGTGAATTAAAGGGTATTTAATGTAATTAAATGTAAAACAAATAATATTCTAAATTTGAGCTGGTGGTAGAAATAAAAATTAATTACCAAAATTGAATAGCGAATACGTGTTTAGCTAATAAACGTATTGTAAGTATCTAAACTTAATCAAATTGGATGATTATTTTCTTTTTCGGTGTGTGTGAGTGTGTAATAATAATAACAAGTACAAGAATTGTATTCATATAAATATAATATGATTAAATAAGCAACTAAGGAATATGGTATTTAGTAGCCATTGGGGCGGACTGCTACATTAAACATATTTATTTTCTGAATACAAAACATGAAATTTTTTTTGATACTTTATATAACATAATTTTTCTATTTAACTATCAGAACTAAATTAAAGTTTTGGTGTTTAAAAAAATGTGGTGATTTTATCGTTAACTGTAATTTACAATTTTAATGGGAAAAATAGCTGGCAAGAATTGCTTTTCCTGTAGTTTGTTGTGTTGGCTACATTGTTAAAGGCTTTAGAAATTTAAAAAAAAACGACTAAACGTCTAGAACTTTGCCCTTATCGACGTAGTGGAGTATATCGACAAAGAGTAACTACTGATATTTTTTAAACTTGCAATCAAAATGTTGTCGTGAAATAGTTTTCATATTATATTTGCTTGATAGGGCAAAGCCATTTCATGTAATAGGAGTTAAAAAAAAAATTATACGGACATTTACATTTTAGATGTTCGGATGGTACTCCTCATCTTTATAATTCATTTTATGTATTATTTTCGTTTTATGTTACTATAAACCTCTAATGTATTTCCGGGAAATAAAAATGTTGAATTTAGTTTTTTAATCACTAATATTATTAAAAGCAAGGAATCTACTGTCATTCATATCTCTTTTATCTGCGGTTGGAAATGATTCCTGTCGCCCAGGGTGGCGCAAGTCTAGACCATAGTTAGTCGCAATTAACAACAAAAGTAACTAAAAGTACAAGTAGTTAGGTTAAAAAAAATGAGATGTCACGTTGTCACATTGAGATAGAAAATATATTTCCTATGTCAATGCGTTGTCATCTATATTCTATTATCTTTATCAATCAATTCATTGTCTTGTCATGTCTGTATACATGTGAAGTGTTTACTGTATTTCGGAATTACTAATCAATTTCTCTATTTTCAAATATTTGGTTGACTACTGTGTGTAGATGATACAACAATTAATATCAATAGCATCATTGTAGCAATTAGCACAAGCGTCAAATAGCTCAATGGACAATATCACATATACGGAATTATTTCTAATGCTTTTATACATAATGGTTTAAAAATAATTTAAATGAACTCTCCAGACATAGAAATTGATAAGATTGGTTAAGCTGAACGGTTTTAATCTCCTGAAAACATAATGGGTGATTCAGAGTTTGCTTATGGGTCGTCTTTGTCGGTGGATTCTATGAAAACCATTGCTGAGAGTATAGGAATAGCAAATTTAGGCGACGATGCCGCTAAAGAACTAGCAGACGATGTCACATATCGATTAAAACTTATTGTGCAGGATAGTATGAAGTTCATGCATCATTCTAAGAGACAAAAATTGTCCATAACTGATATTGATAATGCATTAAAGATAAAAAATATTGAGGTATGATGATGAAAGTATTTGTAGTTAGTTATAGGCTAAAATTGTATATCACATAAATTTAATTAAAAAATGTACACATGTCTCTTATATTTAAACTTGTACTTTTTAAGCATAAGAATTTAATAATACCCTTCTTGTCTAGATTTCATGATGTGTGAATACCATATCTATTTAAAGAGTTGGAACCATTTAAGAAACAAATATATTTTTTTATTTCCAGTGCCAATATGGATTTATTCAGCCAGATTCATTACCATTTAGATTTGCGTCAGGTGGAGGCAGGGAATTACATTTTGTGGAAGAGAAAGAAGTAGATTTGTCGGACATTCTATCAGCTCCTCCACCCAAGATCCCTTTGGATGTATCTGTGCGTGCTCATTGGTTGAGTGTGGATGGTATTCAACCTACAGTGCCAGAAAACCCGCCTCCATTATCTAAAGAAGCACAGAAACTGGAATCAGTTGATCCTATCAGCAAATTAAGCAAACCTACTAATAAGGATGCGGCAGGTAAAATATATAATCATTTTAACAAAACTGGAATTATTTTAGTTGCTGATTGGAAGCAAAATGTATTTTGACATTTTGAATTTTATTTCACATGTCTATACATGATGCAAACAAATGATGTAAGTGTACCATGTGATAGTGCATACACACTGATTGGCATGTGCAAGAGGTACCAATCAAATAAAGAATTATCAAATTCTTAATTGTTGTTGCATTTAAAATGACAGCTCTGGTATATTTTAGTCCATTATCCCTGCTCTTGCGCTTGCTCATACCAGCCAGTGTAAAGCTTTGTAACAAGGATTTTATGGAAACTTTGTTATGTTATATTGACTTATTGTATACTCAGAATTTTAATAAATATTTGACATATTTATCACAATTGAAATGCAATTCCCAACAAACTAAGGGTGAGTTGCACCATTTAACTTTAACGATAACATAGCCGTTATCAGCTGTCAAATCGTCGAACTGACCAATAGGAGGCCGTTTCATGGCTTCCTATGGTTATGGTTTGGTTAAAGTTAAATGGTGCAACTCACCCTTAGTGTCACTTTAATAAAGAAATATTAACTTAACATAATAAATGACTCTTTTTGGAAGAGCACCTAGCTTTACTGACAGACTGACAGACAACTATTCAATTTTAATGTTTCATAGTACCAATTAATGGATTAGTTAGTTAGTATAAATGATTTTGACTTTAATTTGTAATTATTTTAAGTTCTTGATTCTTAGAAGAATATTAAATGTGTCCCAATCTCTGTCAATATTTAATATCTTTCAATCATATTAAAACTGAACTGTGGTTAATTGTGGATAATTAGAGAAATAAGAAGGTGTCTTTTGAAAACTATACTTTCAAACTGTAAATTTTTTGCCATCTTAAAACCAAACCAAGCCCTGCAGGTAGATAACTATCAATGTAGTGATTACTCTTATTATTACTTAGTTATAAACAGTTGTTTATAATTTGTATAAAATTTTAAATTATATTATTGCCAGTCCTTGAATACATGAAATTGGCTGCCATTGTAAGTTTGCTAATATTTCACAGTAATTTGTTTATACTTGTCTACTATTACCAGTCCAGAAAATATTAAATGAGAATACTGAAGATACTTTGAGGGCTTGGAAATTATAAAGGTCATGGTGTAAAATCATGGGTATCTACCTACTAACTTTGGTTAAATCTTTCTTGTTTTTAGTGCATGTTACCCTTTAAACAATACATTAGTAATGTAAATCATTTTATTATAATTTTATGTTTTAATTAACTTTGTTACGAAACTTGAAACAATATTTTGCAAATTGCTTTATATTTTTGTTATGTTTCAGGTAAACCTATGTGTGGTAAAGCAGCTCGATTGAAAGCCTCAGAATCGGTCCACGTGAAGCAGCTGGCCACTCATGAGCTGAGTGTGGAGCAGCAATTGTACTACAAAGAAATCACTGAAGCTTGCGTTGGGAGCGATGAAGGACGTCGCGCGGTACTATCATTTCTTTTTTTTTTCAAGTCAAATCAAATCAATATCATTTATTTCAACTAAACCTTAAATAGGTACTTTTGAAACGTCAAAATAGAATAGTAGTCTGTCAGTCTGTCCGTCAGTGAAGCTAACCTAGCTAAGATACATTTTAAACAAATAATATTTAATTACAGGAAGCCTTGCAGTCTCTGGCTTGTGACCCTGGCCTTCATGAGATGTTACCAAGAATGTGCACATTTATATCAGAAGGTGTCAAAGTGAATGTGGTGCAGAATAATCTCGCCCTGCTTATATACCTGATGCGCATGGTCAAAGCTTTGCTTGACAACCAATCTCTATATCTAGAGAAGTATGTGAGTATAAATCTGATTTTCTTAAGCATTTATTATCATTACACTTTTAGTATTTATGCGAGGGTGATCATGAAGTGAATAATTATTTGTGTTTATTTTTATGTTTATGACTTTCTGCTTTCTGTGATTATATAAATTGCTTTTGAACAGTTGCACGAGCTGATCCCGTCTGTGTCGACATGCATCGTGTCGCGACAGCTCTGCCTGCGTCCAGAGATGGACAATCACTGGGCCCTCCGCGATTTCGCTGCCAGACTCATGGCGCAGATTTGCAAAACTTTCAACACATCTACCAACAATCTACAGACAAGGGTCACCAGGTATATAACCGAATCGAACCGAATAAGTTAGAATAGGAAATATTTTAATTATTAATTAATTATTAATTTATTTGTATTCTATTTGTAGGTTGTTTGCTAAAGCTCTTCAGTGTCCCTCACAAACTAACAACGAGACTGGTGTGGGCCCGTCAATGGTTACTTCTATGAAGGAATCTGAAAAAACACCACTGGCGTCTTTATACGGAGCCGTTCAAGGCTTAGCCGAATTGGGGCCTGAAGTTATCAAAGTAAGTGTCGGAGTTTGGCGGTCTACGTTAGTTGAAGGCCATATTATGTTAGCAGTTGCACAGATAAAAACTGGTGTTTGATTACATTTAATCCATATTTTTTTTAGAACTATTTCGATCCTTTTTATTATTATTATTATATTATTACTAGAGAGGTGAGCAACTGATTTGTCTATTTATCACATAATCCGAAACGTATAATTTTGCAAAACGTATGTAACATAATACATATAACCTTTTACGTTCTAACGATAAGAGCCAACAAGTCAGTCGCGGGAAAGACCAAGGAAAGAGATAAATTGATTGATTTTTGTGTTTGTAGGTGTTCATCCTGCCTCGGGTACGATGGCTGGGGGAGCGCGTGGAGGGGGCGCTGAGCGGGCTGGGCGGCGCCGACAGGCTGGCGGCCGGCAACCTAAAGCACCAGCTGCTCAAGGTACTGGCGCCCGTCGTACGCCAGCTGCGCCAGCCCCCAGACTTGCCGGAAGAATACAAGTTAGTCCCTAATAATAATATCCAATAATCCAGAGTTATCATTTTAGTACTTAGCGCTGGAGGGCTATAATCCTCATTCATATTCTGTTTCATTCATTTAAATTTTATCATTATGAAAAAGCGTATGTATTTGAATGCTATTGTTGAAAAAACATATAACAGCCGTGTTGCTTCGGTAATCGCAAGTGAGATTGCCGAACAAAGAGTCTCGGGTTCAGTTCCCAAGTCTTGTAAAATATTATTGATAATTGTTCAGCATTTCGAAAATTTCTCTGAAATTATGACGTGGACTAATAACAGACAGACTGATAAAAAATGGGTGTACATGTCATCATATATCTGAGGATATAAATAATCACCCGATGACTTCTTCTACTCTGGTTGGGGGAGAGGGAGTGTCAGGTTCTTACTGAATTAGAACCACCACGTTCGTTCTCCTGCTTCGAGCTGGGCGCGGCGAGCCCAGTGAGTACATGTTGAACAATACGAGTCGTGTGCTCCTTCACAGACGTGACTACGGGTACTTGGGCCCGAGCCTGCAGCAGGCAGTGGGCAAGATCCGGTCGTCGCCGGCGGGCGGCGGCGGCGGCGGCGCCGTGGCCGTGGTCACCTGCACTCCGCCGCTCGTGCCCGCCGCGCCCTCTCCCTCGCACCATACCTCACATCTCTCCCACGGTGCCAAGACTGTCGGTGAGTATATTATTTACACTCTACATTAATGTACTCAGATGCCTAAGCGACTGGCTGTAAAATATTGCACACCTAAATAATTAAACACCACAATCTCTGAAGAGCAGTTAACGCATGTCTAGGCAGGCCACTCAATTAAATATATTATGTATTCATATACATATATTTATAGAAACTTTTAAGTTGACAGCAGCATGTACTCAATGTTATATTACAATATAGAATTTGGAAAAACTCAATGGTCAATAAAACTCGAAACATATAAATCTGACATACCTACTGGCATCAAAGTATTAATTTTGGGGATGACAGCCAAATAAATGAATATAACCAACTAGGATTTATAATAGAAACTGTATTGTTTTGTAGTAATTAACTGTATTGTAGTTGATTATATTCAGTTATTTGTTTACCATATTCTATTCTATTAATGTTTACACCATAAATATATGTCATTTATTAGAGACAATAGCGACCCGTAACGTAGTGATCAGTGCTGCACCAGCGCCGCAGTCGCCAGCGCCCTCTACCCCGCCGCCGCAAAAGTTTGTCATCGTGTCCCAACAAAAAGCGCCACAGGTGGTCAACGTAAGTACTAATACTATTTGATCAAGAACTAACTCACCTGTTCTTTCTTTAGACACATTAAAAATGGTGCTATTGAGCTTATGGTTTTTGTATTTTTATTATTATTGTAGATCATAGAATAGTAAGTATAATAAAGAAAAATAAGACTAGTAAACCTAATGTTTTATGTTTAGGAATATATTGATTATAACTTGTTGTTCTTTTAGCTGTTGCACCTACCATGACCTGTCTCTGTATCACCCTAAAGTAGACTGGTAGAATATGGCTTCGGCATAAAGTCCGCCATTGTGCAACAATTTAGCAAAAACTGTTCAATAAAATACAATAAAATAAACTGCTCCTAAATAAAATATCTGAAAACTCGTGTTTTTGAATTCTTTCACTAAAATATGTTGGAATAATAATCACAAACACATCTAGTTATGTTATGTTGAAGAAGATTTATCTTTGCTAAATGTGTTTAATACATATTAGAAACTTAAAAAGATACCATAAATGGTTCATAGAACTGTTTATTTGCAGACCCAGCCGGTTAGCGGCGGCCATATTGTCGTGCATAGCTCGCAGCCCGCCATCGTCCGCAGCCAAAACGTTCAGGTATTGTACACCTTGCTAATGTTTTCAATTTGAACATTTAGTTAGTCCTGAACACTTGTATGTTATTTTGTGAAGAGACCTTTGCATATGTTTGCATGAACAGAGAGAACTGCATGAGTTATGTCAAGTCCTAGCACGAACATGTTTCAGAAGTTGTTAAGTGGAATTACTTTTATTATGTATTTGCTCGCAAGTCTATTATTTATTGCTGTCATACCTCTGAAAAAAGAAATGGACACAAAAGATTTGTGTTGAAAATATCTATACATAAAATAAATCTGTAGAGGGGTCAATTCTGTACATTAAATATATTTTCAAAATAACTACCAGGGGGTGATTAGTGATCGATACTGATGCCAAAAATGCAATCAGTAAAAATTTTGTCTGTCTGTCTGTCTGTCTGTCTGTATGTTCTTTATAGAAACAAAAACTACTCGACGGATTTTAACAAAACTTGGTACAATTATTCTTTATACTCCTGGGCAGGTTATAGAATACTTTTCATCACGCTACAAATAATAGGAGCAGAGCAGTGAAGGAAAATGTTGGTTTCAGTCGCGTGTGTAACCTTAATGGTTAAACTTACATAGAAATTATTTATGACGGAAATATTTTAAATAAAATTGTCTAAAAAAAATGTGTTACAGCATATGTCTATCTTTTATGGTTAACTCACAATAGCACGTGTAACTCCTGATAGCTTAGAAATTCGGATAATAAGATTCGCCGTCGCAAGTGAACACTGAATAATGGTATAAGAATTATTTTTGTGTAGCGGTTGTCGTGCTCGACACGATGCGGTATAAAATATAACATAATATAGGTTTTATCAAATATTTGTAACTCTTACCTATTAGTTAGATCCGTACCTTTCTATCTATTGACGGACGGACTGCGGAGACTTAGCAAGTAATATTTACCCATTGGAGATGTACCCATAAAAATGAGACGATAAATACCAAATTTTATGTATACTCAGATTTTGTTATATTGCTATTTGCTGCTTTTTATCAACACAGTACGCGGGCGAAGCCGCTGGCGAAAACTAGTTATTTAATAATATTGATTAATATGAGATATGAGCAAACAGCTCATAGCCAAAGTCAATGGAGCAATAACAAACGCCTGTAGACCCGAAAATACCGCAATAGTGATCAAATCACCAGTACAGCTCAATAGCAGTGTAATATATGTATAGTTAAATAACGAGATATTATGTGTAAACCTAATTGTGGGCTTATAATAAACGCAGTATACAACCTTGGAGATATAAAAGATTTACTTTCGCAAATAAACGCACACAGAAACAGAATAAGTAACGCAGCCATTTATATCTTGAAGTCAAGGGAAGATTATCCTTGTGAAGCAATGATGTATAAAACTATAGATACGTTGTCCGCGCTCTAAAATGACAACATGAAATGAAGGCAATTGACAACATCGCGCTTAGTTACGCACCAACCTGCCGCGCGACGCTACGTTTGTTTTTAATTTATATCGTGTGTGTAAACCTGTGCGAAACATAAAAAAAGTATGTCGTCGTGTGTGTTCAAACGATGTACAAATTATACTCCAAAAGTTAAAGACATAAATGTGTCATTTCATGCGTAAGTTCACCAAACAACCTATTTTTATTTTATTTTTTTCGACGCCGGCGCCCGTAGTTTTACTATTACTTATCCTGTGATGTAACTGAAGATGTATATTTATCTCCCTCTAGCAAAGGCATTCCACTATACGATGTCATATTTTCTTTCCCTTTCTTTACTCGTAGAAGTAGTTATCTAGTATTTTCGCCGTTTTTAAGCGCCGCGATGTTGGTTCATGACGTGTCTATATATAATACGTCATTGTTGTGAAGATTAAACACTGAGTTGTGTACCGGGGCATTCAAATAACTAAGAAAAAATTGATTGTACTGCCAGTACTAGTTGAGTGTGGTGTTTTGTGGTAGGCAGTAGTGCTGAGTGGTGAGTGGTAGCGTCGTCGTGTGGGTGTAGTGACGTAGTGCATGTGTCTGCGTAGTCGGTGGTGGTGACGAGCGGGCCGGCCAGCGGCGCGGGCGGGGCGGGCGGCGCGGGCGGGGCGGGAGGGGCGGCCGGGGCGGGCGCGGCGCAGAAGGTGGTGGTGGTGGGCGTGCAGGCGCCCCACCACCTGGCGCCCTCCGCCGCCGCACCCGCGCAATCCGGCGCACTCAGCGCCGCGCATGTCAGCCAGGTCCGTACCTCTCAAACCTACCTACATCATCCACAGTGACAGTCAGTTATTATATGTTTACCTGTTTAAAATACTCTATTATTTACTTGTTGTTCGTACTATTTATTTTTCAGAGATTAGTAAACGTTTTTTTCTATTATTTATATCAACTTGCCAATATTAACTTTATAGGTACGACAGAAGTATTTGAATCGTAAACGGGTATTTTTTTCATTTAATTAACGAATAAACCTGAATTTACATCTGTAACTAGAATCTCTTGTCTACAGAAAGGAGAGTGATTGGAACAAACGCATGTACTGAACTATATAATAATTATGTTCTATGACATTTTATTGCATTTAATGCTAGCATTGACTTAATAATTGATTGCCAATATTTTGTGAACCTAAATACATATGTTTCACTTCATTTACAGATTTTACAGGATTCGAGAGAAATGATCTCTGAAGCGAGTATTTGATTATATTATTTTTCTTAACTCAAGTGTGATAATATATGCAAGGAGGTACTAGTTGAAACGTATTGTGATATGGGAAAACAAATTAAAAAATTGTGCTATTTTTTAAAAACATACTTATGCATTAAAGAGTTGTCTTGATAAAATTTATTTTAGAGCTTAATTTAAATAAAATTGTGTGTGAGAAAACAGTTTGAGATATCTGCCCGCATGTTCTATCTAAAACAACCAAAAATCATATCTCATAATTGTAGATGAGAATCCATTTAGCAGTTCGAGGATTTAAATCAGTAGATGGTGGTCATATATATACATTACATGTACACAAATATATCGGTATGTTTCGTGTCGTGCAGGCTCCCGTGTCGGTGGTGGCGAAGCCCGTGTTCGCCCGGGGCGGCGCGGCGCCCCCGCCGCCTGAGCTGGATGATCTCTCACATCTCGCCTGACCCCGCACCTACAGCGTGGCTATCGTCAAGCAATACATCAAAAAGAACTAGTGAACAATGTTTTACTACAAGTTATCGTGACTATATCAAAGTGGGGACTAAATGATTTAACAAATTATCACTTTAGTAGTATCAATGAATTCTGAGATGTTTATATAAAATGAACTATCAACAGATGATAATTATGAACTCAACATTTTATTCTTGTAAGTGAGCGACACAATAGCTTTTCAGTCCTCCGCTTTGGTCCCCTAGTGGTTAAGTTTATAGTTATATAAAAATCTGGTGACATTTTCTATTGCAAATTAAACTTCCTAGCCTTATTACGAGTACTTTGGTGAAATAGTTTTAGGAGTAAATGGTATATTTACATGATCAATATAATATAGTGTCAATTGATGTTATTTACTTTAGTGAGCGAAGACACTTGAGACTTATTTGGGTGCCCAATGTATCATAACTGAAAATAGTCTATAGTATGTTATTAGTATATTATTTCAATATGCATTCTATTATGTATGTAAAACAGTTGATATATCTAAATACATGATTAATTAATAATATTTTCTATTTGTTTTAAATTTGGGCCAATAGGCTCGATCCCTATTACGCAGAATTCGTCAATAATTTCGAGAAAAATATTACCTGCATATAGTTTGTGATATCTCTAGTGTGCTTCAGTCCTATAGACTAAAGCTACGGTGAGGTCTAAGCTATCAGGTAGGCCGTAACACTAACTCGATGCGCCCGTAACTCCAAAGGTTTACCTGCAAATTATCACTATTGGCGTATTAAGCATCGAGGCGGTTGCTTTCACAACGCCTTCTGTGAGCGGGATTGGTAAAATTGCGATCCCACTCAGCAGACTCCTTTTGAAGCATTATAGTCTCACAAAAAGAGGCCTCTTCCCTCCATTTTTTTGTGTCTACCAGCACACCCTTACATACTGCTGGCAAAGAAAGATTTCGCCAAAATTGGTGGCAAACTGAACCTACCGCTCAGTGGCCACAGCTGAGCAGTTTCTTTTTTTGATGAGTGAAATTTATAAAATTTACTTAGTGGTTGGTAATCTGCAAGATTCGTTTTGAGGGGGGAATATTAAATGAGTTCCCCGCCCTGGCGAAACGCGAGGGCATGCCAGACTCTTAACGCGGTAAATTATTGCGCTTCCACTCGCAACTCCGGCTGGACATCAGTCTTAGTGGGCTCCATTTGCGATGGGAAAACTAGCCAACTGGAGCTGCGTTCTGGAGGTACCACCGTGAGCCTATCTTCGTCATGTAGTTGAGGCTTATTTAGATCCGGTTACCGATGTACGTTAAGTACATCGGTCACCGGGGCTTGTGGAACTAGCGGGAGCTATGTCGTGCGGTCGCGGTGGTCCACAGGGACTAATCTTGGGACCGCTCTTGAACCTACAACATCGGATGCGGGGGTTTGGGGTGGTGCCTGTAAAATTGCACGGTGCAATTAGAAGGGACTGAAAGGTCATTACTGAAAATGATGAAGGCTACACACCATACGCTGCTAGCTTCTCTTACTCACCAGACTCTCCGCAGACGGTGGCCGGAGATTGTCTCCCTATCCCCGACGCCCAGATTATCGCCTACTCACTATTTCTTGGCCGCTGCGACGGGGCAGCTGACTACCACAGTTCGCAGCCCCGTATTGTCAGGGCGGATGGTGCCTTTCTTCACCTGGTCAGCAGGACACCCCTCCGTCCTAGCGACAGCGGCCGCCACCTTATTATCCGCCTCTCGACAAGTGCGTCAGCAGACGGACCGCTGGCCGTGCCGGGGACCTCCGAGACGGGCCCCAGTGGCAGTGACCCTAACTGAGAATCCGGCGGATGTCCCAAACTACTACCGCTTCCTTCAATTTGGCGAGGATATCGCCGTAAGTCATCCCCTTTTTAGTCGCGTCTTGCTGTAGTGTCATCACTTCAGCCGAAGATTTTGGGGACGATTTGAGCTCGGTTGAGCTACCGCCGACATAATGGTGGCTTCCGCGTGTTGAAGCCGTTTCTGCCAAATGGTTTTTCTGCCCAGCCAGTATGCGTAGTGCTTCTTTCCCAGCGCGCTTACCTCTGCCGCCAGCTGCTCAGCCGGCTCGGTGCGGCTCCCGGCCGCCCTTGTGGAGCCCTTTCCTTTGCCCCTACCCCGCACACCCTTGGGAATTTTAGGAGCTGGTCGTTGGAGGAATACCCTCTCCCATCCTCCAACCTGGGATGCTTCTACGTCCCCCGGATCTTTTTCGGGCGCAACGCGATGCTGGCGCCAGAGAGCGATGTCAAGTCGAACTTAGAATCCGACTCCTTCCTCTCTGGTTCCCGTAGACGGGACTTGTAGGACGGGGCCAGCACCTCCCCAAGGGTTCGAGAGCCACCTTAGCTGTCGTTGTCAATGGCAAGCACGCTAGCCCTCTCCTGCTCAACTGATGGTTTATTTGTTTTTAATTTAGTAGCTGCCAAATCGGTCCGGAGGGGTCCGCCCAGGGAGAGCCCCCAGTCCCTGGTTAAGAGTACATTTGTCTCCCAACTAGAGAGTCCACCGGGCCATTAGCTGGGGGTGCGCTCACGACTGATGCCACTCCTCAGCTATACATACCCTCGCCGTGCACCAGAACTTAGTATTGGAGGATTTATTTATAGAGATTATCTTCTTCACTATCCGGGCGGTTAAGCCAAGACCCTCACCCAAGTCCGAGTCATAAAACATTACCATGATCTCTTCCCGGATTACGATATCGACGGGCGCAACTGGCGCCCCGATGCTACTAGATGGCAGGGTAAGTTCCCAACGAGGGCCGCCCTTGTTCCTCCGCCACGGTTTCTACTAGGTCCAAACAATTGTGCGGAGGAACTCTCCTACCGAGGCGCAGACCCTATGCCAGAACAAAGCCAGTCGCTTCTAGAACCCGACCAGGTTCTCCCTCGGCTAGAAGGTCGCTGCGGGCGACAGCCAATCCACCCTGTCACCATCCCATTAGGGAGACTGTCGCCCGCACCCAGGTTGCACAATAGGAGACCTCCTGAGAGTTCACTTTATTTACTTGTCATCTGAGCTGCCTTTCCTGAAGGTACGAATTTATTAAATTGGAAGACGCCCCTCGAATGTCGTAGTCTTCCAACTTCAGCAACAGTGCAAAAGCCTTGGACAGATCACAAAGTATTGCAATAGCGGCGTGTGACTTTTCCCACGAGGCGAAATCATGCTTAATTATTAGCATTACAACGGCGTCTGTTGTTTATCGCTCCTTGGTGAACCCGTATTGTTGGTCATGAAAGTTTCGTGGGCTCGTAGTATTTGAAAAAACACCACCTTTTCAAACACCTTACCTACTAAGCACCGGTAAAATAAATACCGACCTGATAATTATTGGCTTCGGTACCATCGCCGGATTGAAACAACAGAACTGCTTTACTACGTTTATCAAGTTTTGAAAAATTCCGCTATAACCCTATGGAACCTGCAGACTTAAATGTGTATTTAAACGCCTTTTGTATCTTAATAGGGGTTTCTGTAATGAAGTTGGAAATTATAACCAATGAATGGAAATACAGATCACAATGGATTCTTTGACATGTCTTTTAATCTCGTTCGTCTTTAATTCTAAGTCGGAACCCGCCACATTCCTGTTGGTCCCAATAATGGCATGACCTGGTTCAACAGGGTTACCTTCAGCATGGAGTCGACGATGAAGTACAAGCAGGGCCTCGCCCGGACAGTTCGTTTAAGATGTATGAAGTTTTTTAAAATTAATTGGGAAAAGTGTCGTGGTACTGTTTTCAACCAATCACATCCAAACCAGCAACAATATATTTGGGTACTTTCTTAGGTCATAAATAAATTTGTAGCGACATCTATCGCACAACATTGACAAGAGCACCAATCACGTGCAAGTTTCTACATCGCGCTATAAGACTTTACAACACTGATACAAAAATCCCGACAACAACCGTCGGGCAGTAGCCCACCAGGCACGAACACCTCTGGTCGGAGGATCCTTCCTTTTCAATGGAGGATGAGGAACTTTCCGCCCTGTTCCTCATACCTCTAAAAATTGATCCGACGTTTCTTTACAATAAAATATTGAAAAACTACTACAAGTACTTCATCGATCGATCGATACACAAAATTTTAAATATTTTTTAGCTAATTTTTAAGAAATAAGTAAGCTATTTGACGGAAAAATACTATGTCGTGATAACTCAGTTTCATACAAATTTCAAAGAAAAGTATAGTTTTTGACATTTGGTTAAAATTATTGAATTTGACTAGTTGGAAACTACCTACCGTATTTGTGCCGGTGCGTGTTTTGACTGCCCCTAAGTACTACCTACGCGGAGCAATTTTTTTTTATGTTGTTATGACGGTGAAATTGCTGGTGTACCTATAACCTGATAGTAATGATCGATTCACATCCTTGGACACAACACCACAACAACGGATGAGTTACGAGCACAGAACAGAAAAGTTACGAGTGTATTGCCGATGGTTTAACGATTAGGGTTTAAGGGATTGGGGAAGGATTGAAAGCATGGGTCCCTCACACTTAGCAATTCCGAAGTTTGTTTCTGGCCACCGTAAAGCGCGGATCAAAAACTACCGAATAAAGTTAGCTCGCGTCGCGCTACGCGATCACCTCAAGGAACCATCAGGTCACCACAAAATGGGAAATGGGGTACAATTGCTTTTTAGGGCTCTTTTACATAGGTCTAATGTCCAACCTTGCACGTGCAAGCTTAGTGAGAGAAGAAACAAGGTGGATTTTACTATTCATTTAAGAGTCTGAGACACCATCTTACCAAGTCATTGGACAACATTGGATAATTTTCCCTCTCAAAAAACAGTGATTCAAACAAAGAAAACTGTCATAATAGACCCTTTTTATAAAATGTAATGGATATTTAGATCCTTTATCAAATTTTCCATTTAGGTAATGTAATGTACCTAACAGGGCCGTAATTTTATTAGGGTTTCATCCGTAGTTGATAGGATAAGTAGAAATGAGTGAGGCTAAGTGATTCCGAGCAGAAAAGAGCTATAAAGAATAAAAGGGCTTTCAGAGATATGTAGCCACTGTGACGTACTCTACTCTAGTGGCATGTGAACGGGTAAATAAGCACCGAATCCGCGCATAATAGGCACAATGCTTCACAATGAATGAATGCCCACTCGACTGAATTGATAAGTGGGTTGTACCGCTTGCGTGGGGAGCGCGTGTCCGCCCGCCCGCCCGATTCGCCGCGCGCCACTGTCAGGGGAATGTAGACCGGTTGCATATTTGTGCCTATGAGAACCTGCTTTCACTGAGTACTAAATATGTAAATAATGTTTCAACGTTGAAACCGGTAAAATATTCAATAGGTATCAATGAGGTGGTGACGAAAAATAGTTATTTACAACAAACTGCATTTAAGCAAAAGAACCGACAAGACGTACCGAAATAAACAAAAAGTAAATAATTATTATTATAAACTGTGTAGATATATATACCTACCTAAGTAGGTACTGCCGTACTGATAGGTTAACAACCCGCTGATCTTTAGACTTCAGTGC